CAAGAATTTGCTCTCAAGAGTGCCTTTGAGGTTGTTTCTATGGCCGTGGCCACAGGGCTTCAAAATGAACTGGCGATGCACAGTAGTTTTGAGACCACATCCAATACAGTCTTAAACCTGGCTTTGACTAAAATGGCAGAAGCAGCAGCAAATAAGGATGCAGAAGGGATAAAAAACTGGGAACAGGTGATTACGTCCGTCACCAAGGGGAAGACGGAAGAGCTTAAAAGCTTTACGGCCTTTAACAAGGCTGCTGAAGATTTGCTCACCCAGTTTCCAAAGGCAGAGTGAAAATTATGGATAAAGAAACTTCAAAATCTACCCACGAAACGAGAATCAGCGTGGAAGAGATGCAAGCGACCTTAGCAAAGACGCTCAAGTGTCTTGCTGAAGAGATTCAAGAGGAAACCACCAAACTTCAAACCCTTCAGCAAGAGGTGGAGAAAAACACCCAAGAGTTTCAGCGATTGTTCCAGTCCTTTCTGACCCTAATGAGGCAAGAGGGCATGCCCAGCAATATTCTCCCTCAGAGAACGCCTGTAGAAAACATTCTCGAACAGCAACAGAAAGTGTTGCAAAACGCGCTAAAGCCCCCTCTCAAAAATTAAGGGTTGATTTCCTATCGTTTTTTGTTTCTAGTTAAATGACTTGGCCGCAAGCATTTGAGATTTTTACTGCGCAGCTAAAAAATGGGAACTAATTGTTGGAGGATAAGGATGCGTTTTTCTGATTTAAGGCGGGAGCAAAAGGAAGCGATTGGACTCTTACAAATAGGGACATTCCTTGAATATTTTGACCTTATGATCTATGTGCATATGGCAGTTATTTTGAACGAGTTATTCTTTCCACCCACTGACCCTAAAACCGCAGCAGTTCTCACAGCTTTTGCCTTTTGTTCAACATATTTTTTGAGACCGTTTGGTGCCTTAATCTTTGGTTATATTGGGGACAATTTTGGTCGAAGGCCAACGGTGATTATTACAACAACCATTATGGCCTGTTGTTGTATGATGATGGCCAATCTTCCGACCTATGCGGAGATTGGTATTACAGCGGCTATAACTGTATCTGTCTTGAGAATTATGCAGGGTATGTCTTCTATGGGAGAAATTATGGGAGCTAAAATATATATCACGGAAATTGTTAAACCTCCCCTTCAGTACCCGATGGTAGAATCCATCACATTAGTGTCCACATTAGGAGCTGTTGCAGCTCTCGGGGTAGCAATGCTATCGACACAAATAATGTTCAATTGGAGATTAGTCTTTTGGTTTGGAGTTATTATTGCGCTTGTTGGCCTATTTGCGCGCACTAAACTTCGAGAAACACCAGAATATGCCGACGCAAAAATAAAGATGAGAAGAGCAATAGAAAGCACGAGGGAAGCAGGACTTGAAAAACCTGCTGAGTTGCTGATGAGCCTGAGGAAGATTCCAACAGAGAAAACAAAAAAGGGTAATTTTTTGAGTTTCTTTTCTCTTTTTTGTGTATGGCCATTCGTTTTTTATATGAGTTACATCTATTTTATACCTACCTTAAAATCAAATTGTGACTATTCTTCTTCGGATATAATTCTTCATAACTTTCTTCTATCTATTGTATGTTTAACTGGAGATTTCTGGAAAATGTTTTTAAGCTATAAAATTTATCCTCTTTTTATAGCCAAAATCTCCATCATTTTATTTTCTATAGTTATTATTTTATTTCCTATATTATTAAACTATACTGATCTCAATAATTATACTATTTTTATACTCCAAAGCTTGATGCTATGGGTGGTAAGCACAGGGCCTACCCAACCCATAACAATTGGTTATTTCCCTATTTTTCGTCGTTTTACTTTTGTTACTTTCGGATATGCTTTGTCAAGGGCTGTAATGTATATCAGTATCTCCTTTGGGTTAGTATATTTGACAGACTGGTTCAGCTTTTATGGTATATGGTTCATAGCTTTCCCTCTTATTTTTTCTTGGGTTAGATCTATTTTCCATTTTGAGAGACTCGAGAAAAAGACAGGGGAATTTCCCCAAGCCTATCCCTTTAACCTCAGTAAAAAGCAACGCAAAGAAGCTTTGTCTTCTATTAAAAAAAGGATAGCAGTTTAGCTACATCACAATTGGCTAGTAGAAAGGTCGTTTTCCTTTGTCTCTGAAGATCTTATCTGGTGAACTTCAAGTCGCCCACCTTTTTCGTAGAAAAACTTTGCAATGCTCTTATCCTTTAGGCACTCAAAGTTCTGTACAGTCTCATGATTGGATGGGACTCTAGAGAGA